GGCGTGACCCGTGCTGCTGCCACCGCACAGCGACGACATCCTCTTGCGCGTGTCAGGCAGGTTGGATCTGATATGCATTCCTCTCAATGATGAGCACCTGCCCAGCAGAACATATTTCTAGCGAAGCTTGCTTCAGCTCATGTCGTTTGCGCTGTTTGAGCCAAGTCATTTGATGCAATGTGAATGACAGTACGAGTCACGAGGTTGCTTCCTTCAGTTTATATTAAGGGCCTTGGGCCTACGAACTTCGGTCACGTGGTGTATCCTTCGGGCGAATTCTTTGTCAGGTCCAACGTGGGCGAAGCTTCCTTCAACGTCTCTCAGAACGTGATGCGCTTCCGCAAGGTCTCCGTTTCTGACGCGGGCGATCCACCGCAACCCAATGTTGACCGATCCACAACTTGATAGGATCGAATCCAAAAGATCACCGTCGCACGGACCGGGATCGATTCGGATAATGATATGTGCCTTTCGCCAAAGATGCGGACCGCCGAAAAAAATGCAAGTCCGCATTAGCTACAGCATGTTACATGGAGTGGAGCCAGCGCACCTGGACACTCTGCGACAGGAGATGGCTCGAAGCTGTTGGCATTTGTAAATCGACTGACTTGTTCGTCACGCGAGGTTTTATATTGTCTAGCTTCAGATGCCAGATACTCTTCGCGTCTTTGCTACACGTGTAGCTTCTGGAAGATTGCAATCTTCCAACTCATGGCACCGCTAAGGCAACCAGATGGACCTCTTTGTCACCGCCTATGGCCGTGGCGCCCCATCCAAAGCACTCGCCGCGCAGTGCCGCCTGCAGGTCGCGCCCAGCCTATGGCGTGAAGAGGCCAGGCAAGTCATGACGTGACTTTGTGGTACTTCCCTTGGCTAGATTGACTCACAGTTCCTGGACTTTAGACTTGTGAAGGGTGAATATAAAGTTCAGACTTGTTGGCCAATCTCAGGAAGTGAGTTGACTAAATGTTCAACTTCCTATAGTCCTTTTTGGTGACTAATGAGTGTGCCCTTCAAGCATAAAGGCCGTAGGAAGAATCATGGGCAAGCTAGAGTGGACAGTGAGCACTCATGGGCTGCTCACTCTTTGATGTCGGGTGCAACCGAAGTGCTCAGTGCTCACTATTTTTGCGTATACGACGTTGATATGCCGCAACCCGGGTCTGTGAATGGCTTGACATCGTACTTATTTCATACCTTTCGGGCACTAGAGGAGGGTTAGTTTTCCTTGGCTTGAGTCACGCAAACATAGAAATCCAATTCGCCCAGACTGTGATTGTGAGCTCAATGGATGTGCCATTCCTGCAATCTTCAGCCAAAGTTGCCCGGCGCTTTTCCTTACTCCAGAAAACGTGGCCGAATGTTTTGTTGTTTGACCCACAAGACCTTGAGAGTGTCGAATGTGTCAAGATATCAAGCCGCAGGAATTATTGTTTGCGTTTTGTTCAAGTCCTTGATGTCGGGCTTGGGGCCGGGGGGCGGGGTTGTGAACTCTGCACTGTTTCGCCAATTCGCAGACCCCGTCTCTCGGCTGGCAATCCTCAGCCATGGCTTTGGAGGGACACCAAACGCCATGCCAATCAACTAATTCGCATGCGCCAGTGCAATGCCCACAAACAGACTGTTACGTGCCAGAATGCCAAGCATGCTGCAAAGCAAAGATAAGAAGTTGCTGCAGAGACCATGGGTAGCACTCATCCTGGTGACTCGTGCGTCAGACGCAGCTGGCTATGCGGCGGACTTTGGGCGTGGGGCTGCCGCTGCAGTGCAAAGACGCCTTTGGCGCCACGGTGCAGGCGGGGATCAAATCGGTCTGCTGGGCCGAGTCGAATTGATGTGGGCCCTTCGGATCGAATTGTTTTGCAAGTCTCACGTGGCAGCTGCCCAAGTGGCGCCTTGCGCATGTGGCCTGGTTCATGCCGGGGATGAGAACGTTCTACAGGCGTTGAGAACTTGTGATTCTGTGCTTGTCCTTAGATTCTAAGATATTCCACGTCAAATGTTTGGGCCAGGTTCCTCACCCCGCAACTAATACCTGGACCACCCAAATCGGCAGAAGTTGCTGCCTTTTTGGAAAAAGGCGCCTTTTTGCTGTTGGCGGCGTTTTTAGTTTCCCTGGCAGCGTTTTTTTCAAAATCAACGGCAGGTAGGGTAAAGGATATCACTACGTCCTCAACCCTCCCACGCCCCTGCCCTCGGTACGCGCCCTCCTCGCGGAACTCGCCGCACCGCCAATCCTTGTCTTCCCCCTCTGTGCAAAACAGGCAGCAGGAAATCGGCGGAATTCGGCGGGAAATCGGCGGAATTTCGCGGAAGCAGGTTTCAGCATGTCGGAGTGTTTGTTGCGTTTCGGCGTTGTTTCTCGCGGGCGGTTTTTTTTTGGCTTTTCGGCGGAAATTTCTGCCGCCGGGGCCTTTCGGCAGAAAGTTCTGCCGCCGGAGGGTCCAGGTATTGTTAGATAAGATACACGAAGAGTATTACGCAACTGGCAGGAATACTCAGGCACCCTCTCCCCTTCTAGTTACCTGTCCCAATGGTTTCTGAGGCAACCCGCAGCCGAAGAATCCATCTTTCAACGTCGTGCCCAGAAGGGTTCGATTCGGATTGGCGGGCCGATCAAATGCAGGTGCCGCCAGCAATGGGGCTCTTCATGAACACAAGTGGTGAGACGTTAGACACACCGCTCATTGCTGCAATCACAATGGAGTTGGCGGGAGGAGTTGCACAAACTTTGCATTCTAAAGAGTACAAATCCTGGATCGGCATTGGCCGTTGGATATTATCCTGCTGAGATTGCCCAAACTGCGGTCCTTGTGGTTTGCCAAAGAATCGGCACAATTTACAGATATCAGCATACATTGTCAACCTGCGGGACAACCCTTCCCAAATGTTGCTTCTTGACGTGTCAAAGGAAATTGATGGTTATCATGAAGCTAAAGGAAATTTTGGTTATTAGCCAATCGCTTCCCGCTGATGAACACGGCCCCCCAATAAGCTTTGCCCTCAACAAAATTCCATTTCTGCCCCAGAGGGTTCCGCTACGATCCTCCCCCCTGCCGGGCTGCAAGAACTGTTCAAGAATTCCGGTAAGGAATTCAAACTGAAACCTACGTCAGTTTTTGGGGATTAGGTTCGTTTCGAATTGGTTTAGCATTGGCTAATTCTAATTTGGTATTAGCAGATTTGGAGTCAGGGGAAGCATATTTATTCTTGGTGTGCATTTCTCAGTAGGTCCTGCTGGAAATCGCCAGAAGTTGCGCTGAGGTGATACTCCTTTCCGAGGAGGCAGGAATTCTGGAGACTGGAGCAAGGAGCAGTCGTTAGATTCGGGCCAAAGAGAATGCAAACAACGAGCTCGCATTCATGCAATGCAAGGTGCTTAGGTCGCTGGATATTTAATTTGAGGCCGTGTTTGGCAAGAATCACTGTGACAGAAGTAGCATGGGACATTTGTCGCGAATTGCCAGGTGCAGATTGTCAAGACTGGCGACTTGTTGCCTGTCCAAAGCTCTGGGAGAATCACAGAGGGCGAGGGCAAGGCGTGGTCAAAGCGTTTGTGGCTTGAAGCAACAGTTTCCCTCAAGTAACATTGGGATTGTGGCTCAATGAGAGCCCAGTGGTCCAAGGAAGAATTTGGTTTGCGATGACATGAGTTTGCCAAGAAGCTCAGCTAGCAATTTCTAGGACGTGAGGGATGTGGAAAGCGATCTGTGTAACCTTCATCCCCAGATCTGATGCCATACCCGTTCCAGACCTGTCCAGAACAGGCGAAGAAGCATCGGGCAGCGGAACCAAGAGAAGAAGCAAATAGTACGCTTAGATTCACAATGAGCTTCCAGAACCTCTTGTTTCAGCCATAGCCCTGCAAGATGTCTCAATTGATGCTTCGCAGATTCCATCTTCAATTAGCCTCCTCTGGCTAGCGGCTAACGGATGCTTACAACCAACTCGAGAGATGTGGTGTTTCTGTTGGCCGCGCAACACCGAGGCTTTGCTTCACCAACATCACGGAGCCAAAGGCGCCGCCCGCTGAATGGTTTTGCTTCACCTCGCGCCAAAGTGGGTGACATGGCGGCACATGCGCTGACTTCAGGTCAGCTGGCTTGACCAAAAATGCATGCCAACTTGCAAGGCGGCAAAGTTAAGAGGTAGTGCGAGAAGGGTTCGCCAGGCCGGATTCCAATGGCTTTGCACGAAACAGCATGTATGGTGATAAAGGATCTTCGCCCAAATCAAGTCGCAAGCTTGACTGGTTGAAAAAAAATGGCTTCCTGCGAGCCCAGGAAGCTGTACTACTGGAATCAGGCCACCAACATCTCAACGGCAGAGCCGCCCTGGGGTGCTGCACTGCCAGACGGCTGGGCCTTTGAGGCGAAAGGGGGTGCTTGCCGATTTTTGTTGGCTTCTTTTTCCCGGAATTTGCGGTTCGGATTGGTGCTTTGGGGACTTGAATCCCCGGTTCCTGTAGAGGAAATGGGAAACCATCTAGCCTCCAGACCACCAATACAACCACCAACTCGAGGGAAGCTGAATGATTGGCGATTCGGGTTGTGATTTGCTGACCTGAGAGTAAAATTGCAGACAAATCCACAGCCACTGGCAATTCAATGCAAGGTGACAGGCAAAGTAGACCAAAGATGCTGCAAGAGAATTGAAGTCGACCGATCCCCCTGTTCCCACCAGCCCTTGTCTCAGGTGTGCAGCACCTCTGGGCGAATACGCTTTCGCCACCCACAGCACGGCGTCAGCACCAGAATGCCGTGAGTCAAAAGCGCGACAGCTCTCCAGGATGACAAAGGCAAGCTCTAATTAGGCAGAAGCGATCACGTTTCACTTGGCTGTGAGTCAAAAATAGGTACCCAAAATGGAACCCTGGTAAATGGAAACATGGACTAAAATCTGCGGTCCCCTGGTGGATTAATTTTGACCCATACCCACTTGTCCCCCATATTTTAGAGTGACGTTGTGCCGAAATACCTTGATGGTGCCGAAATGCCGAGGAAGCAGTCACATCACCACTGGTCGCCGGCATGAGAGTTGTGCCAACCTCAGTATGCCTGAGGATGATTGGCCATCGAGGACCAAGATACCCTATGAGCACATGGCTAACAAATTGTTTGACAAGAGAAGCCACAATTTCGAGAAACCATGAGAAACCAAGCATAAGTTTGTTCAAAGCAATTTTAAAGATCGATTTGGGCATGTGTGTGCTCGTCTACCAGGGGCAAGACAACAACTTGGAAACAAAGTTTGGCCAAAATAATTGATAAATACCTTGTCTCTCTCTCTCTCTGTGTGTCTCTCTCCCTCTATCTTTTCCTCTGTCACTGCGTTGTTTTTTTCTTCCGCTTTTTGTGTTCCCTTTCCTTGCTTTGCGTTGCCTTGCCTTTCCGACCTCACCCTTCCTTTTTCCTTCCTTCCTTTCTTTATTTCCTTCTTTCTTTCTTTATTTCTTTCTTTCTTCCTTTCCTTCTTTCTTTCTTTCTTTCTTTCTTTCTTTCTTTCTTTCTTTCTTTGTTTCTTGTTCTCTCCCACTCTCCCTTTCTTTGCTGCAGGGCTCAAGCAAGCTTGAATGACAGCCGAGGCGCCGTTGTGACGTGCAGGCTGTGGGATGCAGGTGCAACGGCGCGTCAACCTGCGTTTAGCTAGAAGTGAACGGGAGAGAGAGAGAGAGAGAGAGAGGGAGGGAGGGAGGGAGGGAGGGAGGGAGGGAGAGAGGGAGAGAGGGAGGGAGGGAGGGAGGAGGGAGGAGGGAGGGAGGGAGGGAGGGAGGGAGGGAGGGAGGGATAGAGAGAGAGAGAGAGAGGGAGGGAGGGAGGGAGGGAGGGTGTGAGGGTGTGAGGGTGTGAGGCTGTGAGGCTGTGAAGGAGGGAGATGCGTAAAAGGTGTCAGGTTTTCTAGAGCAATTGCGTTGTATGCTTAGTGCGGGCACATTGCACTTAAGTCAAGTGAGCAGCGCCCAAAAAAAACCTGCTGATCCGCAGGACCCTGAATCGCGAAAGCTCGTAAAGTTGGCGAAAACTCAGGCGAAGCTCTCCGAAAGGGCTGTGTTCAGCTTGCGAGTGCTGCGTGACCGCCTAACGCCCATGACGTACTGTCCACCGCTTCCGTAGCCCTTCGGGTGACCGATTCAAGGCCGAGGTATTTGGCAAGAGGCACGGGTGCCGGAGCGCGAAAGCTTGGGGTTCGCGAAAGGCAAGGCTCCAAGCCTGCCGTTGACTTAAGTTTGCTCCAGGCGCTTGGCAGCTTTGCTTGGCATACTAAAAACTTGCGATTTGAAATTGGAGCAGCCAAAATTGCTTAACGTGCTTTAACCAATCCCATGTCGGCAGCAAATACTTGGATCTCAAGGGTTTACAGGAAAAAGCAGAGCTCTGTGAAAGGAACAAACGTGCGTAAAATCCGCGCGACAGCTTGGCAAACAAACGCGCAATCCGGATAGCCTAACTGTCGAAAAGTTATGAGAATCGCTCAAGTAGGTTTGCGTTAGTGTTGAGTTGCTTAATACCATTTTCTGTGGGCAACAACACTTGCTCCAATGGAATCAAGCTTAGAATCGAGTCTCACTGCATGCACTACATCAAAGCCTGCAAGTGAAACTTAGCCTTTGAGCTCGTTTTGAGCGACTTTTGGGTGAACAAATGAGCTCTCCAAATATACCTTTCTTGCCCAAAACTAGCAAATAGCCCAAACATAAGTTCCGGTTTCCTCCAAAGCTTGTTCCAAGAGCTGCTAGAATTGGGCTTTGGGGCAGGAAGTAGGCCTGTCCCTAGCCGACAACCAGGACTGTTTGCACAACGGCCGCCAGGCCGCCAGATGCCAGGCGATGTTGCCACTCTGCCGAGCTCATGGTATGTTCAGAAAAAATACGCCGGCGTTCAATCGAGCTTAGCTGGAGGCTAGTTTTTTCGTTTGCCAAGCTCCAAGGCTGCTTCAGCTCGGTGATGACCACCTGAGCAGCGCCAGAAACCCTGACAATACAAAGTAGTGAAGGGGGGTGTCCTATAGAATCCCCGTGAAAGCCAAAACGCAGGCCGCGAAAGCTTGCGAAAGCTTATCGCGAAAGTAACCAAAGAAAGTCCCGCCGCGAAAGACCCGCGAAAGCCTGCATGCTGTGTGACGCTCCGCCGCGAAAGCGTCGCGAAAGCAATTCTAAAGAAACCAAAGCCCGCGAAAGCAAAACATGGGGTCGCGAAAGCATCGCGAAAGGGTCCGCGAAAGCAAGTTTATAGGACCGCTTTTTACACAAGAGTATTTGGCACGGCTCACCTGTTTTGTATAGAAATACTGTTGTTGACCAGGGGACTGCCAGGATTCACAAGCATGTCGCCATTGGTTGCCTGGCATGGTTTCCATTGGATGCATGTGCTTGCATGCTGATATCCTGCATCCATTCACGCTCGTTCTTTAGCATCCATTTATCGGGACCAGGGTAGTGCGGCAGCGCCGCGGGTTTCCTTCTGAGTCCCTCCGAAAATAGCCACTAGCAGCAGCTGCTCCATCCTTACAGCTGCGAACCCAGCAGCCCCTGATGTTGTATCTCACAGAGTGCAAGATTCAAGAGTTCCAAGCGCCATGCCCGATTCATGTTTTCACATCGTAAGCAATGCGGCAATAATGGACTCTTCGACGAGATACGCACAGCTTGATCGTGCGGGACCCTTATACACCATACACACACAAGCCCACTAGCAATCAGCTTTGATGTTATGAGCTTGCAGAGAAGCTTTTTGAGAGGGAAGCTTAGCGCAGACAGCACAGGACGTTTGAAATTGTGACCCCGCGGGTGCACCGCACATGGATTTCGATGAGTTGGACGACATCGAGGAGCGACAGTGGTCAGGTTGGCCAGCCGCCTGTTGCGAAGTCGATCAATAAACCTCCCTTTGTGAGGGATTACACCCTTGGGAAATGACCCAGAATGGTTCAAAATAACACGGTTTTATCCGGAAATGTGCCTACATGGGTCAATACCCAGTGGGTGTATTCCCAGGGTGCAAGACCAAAACCCTTAGACCCTTGCATCCAAACAGCACATGCAGGGTCGCACGGCTTCGATCCCCGCAAACGGCGGATGGAAAGGCTTTGACAAGCAATTGAGGGCCCGCAGGTGTGAAGGCTGTACGCAATTGGGAGTCCTCAACGGTTGTGCTTCGATCAGAGAGGGGTGGTGGTAGGGCTCATTCACAACGGAGATCAACGGAGAACCCTGAATGTGCAGCTGCAATTCTCACAGATTTCACTGGGTCCTGTCATCGCCAATGTTGCACAGATGATTGATGAAGTTCGGCATGACAGGTGTTTTCATTCTGTGAGCACACACGGTGGGGGAAGTCTTCGGGTGGTTAGGTCGGCTGTTTGCCGAACTCACATCGCCCAGTGTCCATGGTTCGAGGCAGATAAGCTTGCTCCCCTGTATCTTGGTTGAAAGTAGGTGGACGTTGCGTAGTGGCTACCTACATGAGCCTCAGCACGATTGACAGACTTCAAAAATTGTAGAGGTGCATTGGGTATCACTTGGCTGGCGAGTGAAGTTGTCTGTGAGCAACGAAAAAGCAACAAGTTGTTGAAAAGTAGGCCAGCTGGCGGAAGCTTCAATATTTTTTGGACGTGGCAAGCACTGTGGTCAGAAGTTGTAGCAAAACGCTGTACAAATATTTTAAGTATACATAAATCAGAGGCAGGCTGCAATACGGACCAGATTTGGTACCCCCGACTCCCAAGCCTCAAAGTAAACGATGCAGTGGATGTTCCTCACGCTTAGTCTATCTCAGCGGAAAATAAGTTACAGGCCCAAGCACGACATACTCAAGAGCCATGCAGTTGACGCTGCGATTGTGGTCTTAGTCATGGCCGAAACGCGGAACCAGAACTGGGTGGACGTGGCAGCATCCCTTATCACTAAAGCAACGGCAAAGCCCACTGCGCAAAAGAAACCACAATAAGCAGCCAGAGCCAAAGGCCAGTGAATGATGCGGTGCTGCTCTGAGCGAGCAGGGCCGGCAGCAAGGCATGAACCAAGCAAGCAAACAAGCAAACAAACAAGCAAACCAGGCAAAAGACAAATAAGCAGACAAGCCAAACCAGCCATGCGTTTTAAACAGCAGACAAGACGACATACACAATTGCCGGACTGGATATGCTGGGTTAGCATACTCGTGGAGCCTCGCCTGCCCCAATCCGGGTCAGAAGAAAATCAAGAGGGGTGGGAATGAATCGTCCCCTTGAATACCCACAAAGGTAGCCACTCTTAGATATCCTATGGCACGCCCTCCGGATCGTGAGATGAGCGCGGGTTGCTAGGAGCGTCAGCGCCGCGCACTGCAAGAGATTCAGCGCGTTCGGGCGGAGCAGACGCGGCGGGCTGTGCAGGAGCGGCTTGCAGTTGGGATGGCTATGGGGACGTCAGATAAACCTCATGCCATGATACTGTTGGCGATGAACCAAGTACCATCAAAATATTGGTGATAACCACATATGATACCAGTTGGACTTTCAATTCAAAGCAAACTTTGAGACATGTTTGATATCTCTTTCAAGAGCGTCAACGGGCAATAATGTGTTGCCCACATTGGCATCGACTGCGGGATCCTGGGGGAGTCTAAAACACAAAGCGCGTTCTCCATGAGACCCTGCATCCGGTTCTGTGTAGGCGGGTGGGAAGGCAATCTTGAGCTGGATTCGGGCAAGTTCCCAAAACGTTGCCTGAAGGACAAAGCAGTCATACTGTTTTTGTCGCATCTTGGTTTTCACTGGGTTGTTGCTACGAGGGGTGTGGTTGAACTACAATTGAGGTCCGTGGGTGATTTTCAGGCAAGTGTGGCTTTGGGAGAGTTGGGTTAGAGTTCCTGAAGTGGCAACGCAAGGCGATTGGCTCTTGTGCAATAACTGCTGACATCAACTGCGAAGGAGGGAATGCAGTTGGGCTGGTTCCAGCCCGACCTAAGATCCACACGCAAATGCGCTCACTCAACTGTCAACTGAGAATAGGGTTCCTGTAGGGGGCCTTGTTCAAGACCATGCTTTTTGTGAGTGTTCCAACATACGGTTGACGGTTGAAATCCTGCACCATCTCTTCGAACTCTTTTTCACGACTAAACAAACCTCATACCCCACTCCCCCTTTTCACTGTTGGTGGCAACGGCAGTGCAGGATGTCGGCCATTCCAACATGTTTGAAACCAAGGGCTCGAAACTTCCAATGTAAAATTGGGAGCACGAGGGTTTTTGCAAACCGTAGTGAAAGCGGTGCAGGATTTCGCCCGTCAACAATCTTATGTGCGTTGACGATAGTGTTGAGAGCTGCCAGCTTGGAGTGCCGAGATTGTTTGCTTGTTTGCTTGCTTGTTCTGTTGCCTGCCTGACCGGCTACCTGCCTGCGTTGTTGCCCGGTTGCGTGCTTGCTTGTTTTGTTCGTTTGTGTGTTTTCTTGTGTTTTTTGTTTTTGTTTTTTGTTTGTTTGCTTGCTTGCTTGTTTGTTTGTTTGTTTGTCTTTCGTGTTTGCTTGTTTATTTTGTTGTTTTGTGTTGTCGCTTGCAGGCTTGCATGCTGGCTTGCATGCTGGCTTGCATGCTGGCTGTTTTGCTTCTTTGCTTGCTGGCTTGCTTGCTGGCTTGCTTGCTGGCTTGCTTGCTTGTGTGCTTGCGTGTGTGCTTGTGTTTGCTTGCTTTGTTGTTTTGTTGTGTTTTGGGTTTGGTTGTTGATTGTCTTGTAGTATGTCGGTTGGCTGCTTTGGGTTGTTTTGGTTGGCTTGATTTGTTCCGTTGTTTCTGTGTTGTTTTTCTTTCATGGTTGGTTTGTTTATTGCCAGCGTTATTTCAGGAGCAGTACCAACAGCGGCAACGAGCGGTGAAAGCTGTGAAGCCAGTTCAGTTTGGCGCTTAGTTTCAGCTCTCGGCTTCGAGCTCTCTCACAGCTAGATCTATCCAGCCGCAAATGGCTGGAATATGTCCGAAGGTTGCGCTTAGGGAACCCAGCCTCCAGAGTTTTGAGAAGAGCGCAGATTCGAGTCATGAGCCATTTCTTTGAAGACTTGAACATGGTGGAGAAAAGAAGATGCCTCCAAGTTGCCAGTGCTTGCTTGAAATTGGTGATCAATTGCAGAGACATGCCAGAGGAGGTGCTCTGTCAAAATGCACAGTGAAATCAATCTTTGCACGCAAGCCTGACAGGTCATGAACAACTCTCCCTTCCGTCTTCTTGCTGGTGACTATTTGTGCAGAGATTTTTGGGAAACCCTAACGTGCCAGGTGGGGCCTTGGGTTTGAGACACTGAGAATTACTCCATCGTGAGATGGCCTAAGGCCGGGCCCGTCGCCTCGCAGGCCTGATCCACCAGAACCGCAGGCGTGAGATATGCTTGAACCGTGTCGCGCGACGCATATTCTCATGACTCCATCGATTTTGAATAGTCTACTCTCAGCAATGTGATGACACGGTTGGACCTCAGCTCGAACAAGCTTCCTGTGTGTGTGTGTGTGTGTTTGCTTGTGTTTGTGGTTGTGCCGTTGTGCCGTTGTGTGTGGTGTCTGTACCTGGGCGGTTGTGTGTGTGTGTGGGTGTGCGTGTTTGCGCCACCAACTAGTATATGTAATATATATATATATATATATGTGCATGTGCACAGATGTGGTCGCGCGGTGTTGTATTTATTGTGCACTTGTGTGCGTGTGTTATGTGTTATGTGTTATTTGCTTGCTTGCATTTTTTTGAAATACTGCATTGTGGTTTGTATGGTTGTTTTTTATTGCGACTTGTGTTGTGTTGTGTTGTTTAGTGGTGTTTTCTTTGTTTGCCTTTTGTTTGGCTGGTATGCTGCTGCTTGCTTGCTTGCTTGCTTGCAGGCTTGTTTGCTCGCTTGCTTGCTTGCTTGCTTGCTTGCTTGCTTGCTTGCTTGCTTGCTTGCTTGCTTGCTTGCTTGCTTGCTTGCCTTTCTATGTGTGTGTGTGTGTCAGTTTGTGGTTGACTGTTTGTTTGTATGTGTGCTTGTTTGTATGTGTTGGTTGGTTGGTTGGTCGGTCGGTCGGTCGGTCGGTCGGTTGGTTGGTTGGTTGGTTGGTTGATTGGTTGAAGGGTTGAAGGGTTGAAGAGGTGAGGGTTGAAGGGTTGGTTGGTTGGTTTGTTGGTTGGTTGAAGGGTTGGTTGGTTGGTTGGTTGGTTGGTTGGTTGGTTGGTTGAAGGGTTGGTTTGTTGAAGGGTTGGTTGGTTGGTTTGTTGGTTTGTTGAAGGGTTGGTTGGTTGGTTGGTTTGTTGGTTGGTTGAAGGGTTGGTTGGTTGGTTGGTTGAAGGGTTGGTTGGTTGGTTGAAGGGTTGGTTGGTTGGTTGGTTGGTTGGTTGTTTGGTTGGTTGGTTGATTGGTTGCATGGATGGATGGATGGAGGGACGTTTGTTTTGTTGGCTTGTTTGTTAGTTTGTTTGCTTGTTGGTTTGTTTGTTTGTGTGTGTGTGTTTGTGTGTGTGTGTTTGTGAGTGTGTTTGTGTGGTCGGTTGTTTGTTGGTTTGGTTTGCTTGTCTGTTTGTTTGTTTGTGTGTTTCTGTTTGGTCGTTTGTTTGTTTGTTTGTTTGTTTGTTAGTTTGTTAGTTTGTTTGATTTGATTTGATTTGATTTGATTTGATTTGGTTGGTTGATTGATTTGATTGATTGATTGATTGATTGATTGATTGATTGATTGATTGATTGATTGATTGGTTGAGTGTTTGCCTGTTTGTCTGTGTCTGTCTGTCTTTGTCTTTCTCTGTCTGTCTCTTTGTGTCTCTTTGTGTCTCTGTCTGTCTCTGTCTGTGCCTGCGTCTGTGTCTGCGTCTGTGTCTGTCTGTGTCTGTCTGTTTTTTCTTTGTTTGTTCGTTCGTTCGTTCGTTTGTTTGTTTGTTTGGCTTCTGAACAAAATGTGCTTTTGCGTTGCTTGTTTGTTTGGTTTATTTGGATTGTTTGCCTGCATTTTTGTCTTTCTGCTTGTCTGCCTGTTTGTTTGTTTGTTTGTTTGTTTGTTTGTTTGTGTTTGGTTGTTTGTTTGCTTGGTTGGTTGGCTGTTGTGTTGACCAGTTTGTTTGATTGATTGGTTTGTTTTGGTTTGGTTTGATTTGATTTGATTGGACTGGATTGGAAGGGATTGAGTGATGGATGGATGGATGGATGGATGGATGGATGGATGGATGGATGGATGGATTGATTGACTTGATTGGTTGGTTGGTTGATTTGATTGATTGGATTGGATTGGATTGGATTGGAGTGGATTGATTTACTTGATTGATTTGATTTGAGTTGATTTGAGTTGATTTGATTTGATTTGATTGATTGATTTGATTAATTGATGGATGGATGGATGGATGGATTCGATGGATTGATGGATTGATTGATTGATTGATTGATTGATTGATTGATTGATTGATTGCTTGATTGTCCGTCTGTCTGTCTGTCTGTCTGTGTGTTTGTCTGTTTGTCTGTTTGTCTGTTTTTCTGTTTGTCTGTTTGTCTGTTTGTCTGTCTGTCTGTCTGTGCTTGCTTGCTTGCTTGCTTGCTTGCTTGCTTGCTTGCTTGCTTGCTTGCTTGCTTGCTTGCTTGCTTGCTTGCTTGCTTGCTTGCTTGCTTGCTTGCTTGCTTGCTTGCTTGCTTGTTAGTTTTTTTGTTTGTATTTGTGCGTTGTTGTTCGTGTTGCGTTCGTTGTTTGTTTGTTTGTTTGGTTTGATTGATGGATTGATCGATGGATTGATTGATTGATGGATGGATGGATCGATCGGTCGGTCGGTCGGTCGGTTGGTTGGTTGGTTGGTTGTGCGTGTGTGCGTGTATGTGTTTGTGCGTATGTTCGGTGTGTGTGTGTGTGTGTTGGCTTGCTTTTGACCAGCCAGATGCCTGAGCATCACCAGTGAGACTTGTTTTCTATCGGGGGGAGAAACAAAGGCACATGCAGACCTTTTGGCTATCAAAGAGTGTGCCTGGCTAGGTCCGGGGTGAAAAGTACAGGTGCGGTACATTGCACAAAACTGTCCTTAGGTTGCTGCAGTCGATGCCCCAAGTAAACCAATGCCAACCACGAACCATGGTAGAAGATTAACAGACTTAGAACCAGCTCCTTCGATAGGACCTGGAACCAGCACAGCCCGTTGGCCTGGCCGGTTCTGCCCTCGGTGAAACACTGGTGCCAGAAAAGTACAAGCCTATTTTTGCTTGCGTGCTTGCCTGCATGCACCAGGTTTCGCCTGCTTAGGTTTTCATCCTTTATGGAGCCTGCAGCACCAGAAGTCCGCACTGCGTCTTGGCTGCTTGATTTGTTCTGCGAGCAGCGGTCGTTGGCCTTATTCCAGCGGTATACGATGGAAACACGTAGATGTACACATTGAATAGATGTATTCATGTATAAATATATACACGTGTTCAACATGAGTTCAAGCCTACGCGTTGTACTTGTTCTACTCGTTCTCCAAGAGGATATTGTGGCAGAACATCCATAAGGAGCTACGCGCATGTGTTTGCGCTTCGACCATGTCTTAGGCCGGCCAAAGAACCAGAGCCCGTGGAACGGCGCGCGCCGCGCGCGCCGCGGCGGCGGGGCTTCCAGGAGCTTCTTGGCACCATGAGCCTGAGATGCTCGGAATGCGCGGAGTGACCGCGGAGGGTTCTATGAGGCAAAGTTTGACAAGTGGCTGATTGACTCATTGCCCAAGAGGCTAGAGCTGGAAACAATGGTATGCTCACAGGTCCCTTGCTTGAAAGCTGCAGAAGGCAATGCTTGAATGGGCTTCCGACAAACATCACCAACCTGTTTGTTTTGCTTCTGAGTGGAGCAAGAGCTCGCCAGCAAGTAGCTTGAGTTTCTTGGCGCGCGCCATGTGATTGTTGCAAGGTTTCAGAAAGAGAAGCAGGATAAGCATGAGGAGCCAAAGCAGACTCCGCCTCCTGCGCGCCTCAGGTTGCAGTTAGGCTCAATTAAGTTTAAGAGTTGGCTTTGCTTGTTCTCTTTACTCGTGTATGATGAACCATATTTGGCGCCGGAGTGTCGAATTCTTGGGGCAATCCACATCAACATCTCGACACTTTCCAGAAGTTGCGACCAGTGTGTCTGAAGCTTGAGTCCTTTTGGCGTTCACGGGGTTTCTTGAGCGTAAGTGGTCAACTGAAGTAAGGCCTAAGGCCAAGCATAGATGTGCCCCACTGACATGTCATCTCGTATTTGAGATTCTTGATCGCCTGCGAGGGCAAGTTGCAAACTGCTACCAGCCCCAGGCCACTCGCAAGGCAAGAAGGCGGTCCAGAGGCCGAGTTAGATGGGCCGGTGATCCAAAGTCTGCATGGGACAAGGCACAAAGAAAGCATGATTTCCCATACTGCCTGCATAGGAACATCATGGGATTTTATGGTTTAAGGGTTACCCCGCCGTGAGGCTCAGGAAGGTTAAGCGGTCCGGTCCGTTTTGGCGTATGTCGTGTTTCTCCAAACAACACCTGCGGCGCAATCATGCGAAACGTATCCGTATATGATTTGACGGGCTGATCGCATAGAATCATGATGTGCTTAGCACTTTGCTCACCTTGCATGAAACAACGGCAAAGCGAATTTCTCTTGTAGATGTTTGACCTTCACGACGCTTGTTGCCCCTTGCTTCACAGGGGGATCCCATGGCGGCGTTTGCAGATCGCCTGATGGCACAGGCCCAGGAGCGCGCTTGCAAGAACAGCCTTCTGAGCATGCTCCAGGTTTTGGCGTTGTTTGGTGGCATATGGCTGTGGCTCAAAACATGTACCACCATGTTGCCTTGGTAAATGGAACCAACAACTAAAACCCGCGTAAACCCAGCTGTATCATCAGGGCTCCTTAAAAGATACATGTTGGTCATTTGAAACATGGCTTTTTCCGCCAAGACAAAGGGACAAACCACCATTTACAAGGCAATGTTCAGGTGTATGTAAGGATCCCTGTTACACAACCATCATTTGAAGATGCTTCAACAAGGAGGTTGCCCGACCCCGTTGATCCATTTGGAGGGGGCTTGGAGAGCTATGGGCCACTGATCACGTTGAGCAGCCATAGGAAGAGCGGGAGCTCCAGAAGCGCTGGGAGCACCAGCAGCTGAGCGACCAGACCCTGAAGGTGAAATCTGCTCGGCCGGAGACGGAGGCACGCCGAAAGAAACGCTAGGCTTGATGCGGGTGTGGTACTTTGTTTGGTGGTTTTGAGGGAACACCTAAATGGACAACCAACATTTGTTGTTGTTGTTTTTTGTTTCCTTTTCTTTTTTTGGGGGGGAGCCCAAAAAACAGATATATCCATGAGAAGACTCTTTGCCGTATTTTTTCGGTTGGATATGTTCGAAGGTTTTCCGAGTAAGTCTCTGGGACGGAGACGCCATGTGTCCAGGGCCTGGAAGAGGAGGACGAGGCGCGAGTGGTCGCGTGTTTGCTTTGAACGGTAGACGAAGCCAACCGCAGCAGTCTTGCTTTCGCATTCGAGCAGAACCCCCCCAAAAAACAGAACCCAAACTTTATTGAAATTCCTTTTTGGCGATGCTCATTTGGCACATTTGGTGTGTGTGTGTGTGTGTCCTGCTTGAACAGCCCAAACAATGGCATAGGCTCGGCGCCCGTGTGTACTTAGCTACCTCGGGCAGGTGCCAGCTTTGAACGCCATGATTGCCATCCTCGATCGGCACGAAGAGGAGGACTCGGCACTCCAAACACCATGGGTCAAAGCAAGCCTCATGAGAGCGGGGCTTTTGGATCACAGGAGCAAGAGTTTGAGCGCCTCAAGCCCTACCTGCCTGAGCTCGGGCGGCAGGCCTGCAACTCACGATTCACAAATTCTCACCACGTCTGGAGTCTGGAGCCACTTGCCGCCTTTGGATGTGTCGCCAGGGAACTCGGAGCATCGTTCCCATGGCCGAGGAGCGACTCCTTCTCAGGGACATTGGAGGTGCACAGACGTCCCCCCACTTGACCCGGTGCAGTGCTGTGTTGAAAGCGTGTATGTTCATACCATTTTAAGCCAGGGCACTCCCATGCAATGAGCCACCCTTAATTCAAGAGCGCTTGCATGCGTTGATTGCATGGCCTGACCTGGCGAGGATGGCAGCAATCCTTTCGTCACCCAGGCGGTACAGGTCTTTCAGCAGTACTACCCGGACGTCAGCCGGCTCAGTTCAGATGGAGTAGTTTTGCTTTGAACCCAATCCCGTTGCATGCTTCAAAATCTGTCAGAAGCCGAACTGGACGTTGTTTCCAGGTGGACTTTTCCTGTGCCTTCGGCGAGCACTACAAGGAGGTGCTGCATGCATGACCCCCAGTTTTGGCCAGATCTAGCCCGGGGTTTTGTTTGGATCTACCGCATCCCAGAGCCTTTGGGCTTATTGGGGGTCTCCTAAAGTAGCTGTATCTCGGCGTTCGTTTTGGAGGCTGCAAGGCATCGCAGGGGGATGCTAATTACCAGTGCCAGTGTGTGTGTGTGTGTCATGCCACAAAGCTGCACTGGAAAGCTGCTTTCGTGTCCGGTTGGTGGCAAGCTGTTCATAGTACTAGCAAAGGACCCATGGCTCTGCCTTTGCATAGTGTTGCAGTGAATCCAACGGCAAAATCACAGCTACTATTTATATTTGCCGCCGCTGCCTTACGTGGCGCCAATGTGGTTTCCATGAGGCTGCGGCGCATCGTTCGGCACGGGGAGGCCATGGTGCCATGTGCGGCTTCGCAGATGATGCTAATTTTAGGCATCATGTTGTAACCCCACAAATGAAGAGGCGACATGTGTGTGTGTGTGTCAAGTTGTTCAGAGCAGTAAAATTGGTGGCTTTCCTTTTGGTTTCCCTTTGAGGCAACCTGAAAGGGGTCCCCAAAAACAACAAGCGGAGTCAAAATCGGGTGGCCAGGCCACGTAGAGCAGCTCCAACTGCGAAACCTGGAGATGGCTGAGGAGGACAAGTAGCATGCTGCATGCTACCGGTTCGTTTTTGAAGGAACCCGTTGGGAGCAACTCAAAGGAGAAGGGAATCCACCATGTTCCATTTGAGGGTTTCACCTTTGAGACAACTGCACCTGCCTAGTCTTCAAACCAAAAGCCCTAGTGCCCATGATTGTTCAGCATCCCCAGTGACCCGCAGCTTCGGGAAGAAGCTTAACTGATTTAGCATTTCGCAGTTCCCGCAAGTGTGCAACATGAGAATTCTGGGTTTGTCTCGGTGTGAAAGCCGGGTGTTTTCTTTATGCGGAAGATATTTCCAAGGAGCAGCGGCGGAAAGAGGAGCGCCGGAAACTCCTCAGGCTGGCTCGAAGCTCCGAATCGCTCGCATCTGGCTGCGGCAGTTTTGACCCAATGCTGAAGCTGACATCTAAAATAGCCAAGTGGGGACGCACATTGGACATCGCTCAAAATTTGATGGGGAGAAGCTCTCCCCTGCCAAGCATCGCAAGGGACCTTCGCCAGCGGCGATACTTGCTGCAGGAGAAGCCTCCTGGCAACATACGCACATAAAGGGACATAGTAAGTTGCTAGTAGGGCCTTGTTATAACCCACTTACCATGGTTACAGGTCTCCTAAGTGGGTTACAACCAGGCTTACTAACCACGTACTAAGTACCTTGCACCGTTAAGTAGGGGAGCACTGCAATGTGAAAGAGGGCAGTGTGAAGAATGTCGTTTTCGGGATGCATTTGCAAGGTGTGCTTTGAACTAGCTCAAAACGCCGTAGTTTGCTTGGCTCACGTGCCAGAAGTTGTTGCACCATGAGGCGGTGTCTCAAAGCTGATCCAATCGGAATCGCCTGTCTCCTTGTTCTGCTCTTTCACCAAGTCTGAAGCAGGGCCTTTCACTGCAGGAGCTTTATTTGTTAGCCAAGTTGCAAGGCCTGTTAACCAAGTTGCAAGGCCAGTTGGGAGCAGGTGTGTTTTAGTGCGTATTGCACAAGCTGGAAAGGAAGGACAAGGGAGGGAGGGGTATTGTAGAGAGAGAGAGAGAGAGACCATTTCGCATGCACATCGTGACATCCCGCAAAACCGATTTGGCAGCCAGCCATGGCGAGGCAGTGAGCCAGTAACGACGTCACATCTTCAAGCGCAGACAGCTCGTAGCCAAGGCAGCGAGCCAGGGGCTCTGTGGGTGACACGAAGATTGCAAAGGTGGGAGCGGCGGCGACGTGCGATGTTGAATGAGTCCCGCAAATTCAGTCAGGTGCATGTAGCCTCAAGCTGTGCTTTGACAAGTAAAATTGTTTTGAATAAAGACTGGTCAGCGGATTGCAAAGGACTATGTTTTGTGTGGGAAAAAATGAAAATATAGCAGTGAAAGTGCCACTGCTGTACGATCTTGACAATCCAGGTTTGCGGGAGTAAAGCCAAATACACATCTTACCCTCAAGTGCATGTGAAGGATCTGCTTGCTGGCGCTTGTCAAAGAGCGGGCTACCAAGCAGACTGCATCCTTGGCGTAGGTCGCTCCTCCAGCCATGTCCTCGCAGGCAGGGACTTCCAGTCATAGCTGCGCTTACGCTCCTGACAAAACTTGATTGACGTGCAGGCCACCTGCAGTAAGATTGCTTGCGATAGGGAAAGGCCAGGACACATTAGGATAGTGCGCTCAAATGCCTTGCCCATGTGGGCAGCCCAGGCCGTGAGTATAACAGGCCGTGCACCATGCGTCGAGGCGCTTTCATTCCCCAGTGCGCCGAGCAGTGCTGCGAACGGGCCTGGCAGCCTATTGTCCAAGCCATGGACATCATTTGCCTGAGCACAAGGCCACGAGGTTCAAGGAAACTGGTGTTTTTATTGCATGTGCGCTGATAACTTTGGCATTTTCCGGCACACTGAATGCACCTCACATGGCCGCATGGCATTGCACGGAGGCTTCAGTTTCCGGGCATGGAGGACGACGCCACCGAGACCGAGGTTTGCTTTCCAAGGCGGATCATGCCGAGAGCTTTGTTGGGGGTTGTGAGCAACCGCATATCAGATATTATCAGGTAGGTACGAAGGTCAAGGCTTGTCATTGTCTCACTGGAATCTGTTTAGCTCTCTCATGCTTTGGCGCCCAAGGAAACTCTGCGAAGTGAATGAAGCTGGACAAAGACTTTTCCACCATCCAAAGACCTGTTCCATTTCCAGGGCAAGGACAAGGGCTATAAGCAAGAAGCCCGCGCACATGTGATCAGATGTTGAGCGGCTGTTTATCACGTGCTGTATTGACGTCCGACCAGGGCAACGGCGGCTGTAGAGAAGAAGCATAAGCCGCCGGAGCCCAATGTCGAGCGAAGGAGCCTTTTGAGTTGGTACTTGTCTACGGAGGTGCTGGTGCCTTCAGTTTTTTCTGGCTGGATGTACCGGCTGCGCTTTTTTTTTTTTCCGACACCAAGCTGGTCGCACACTTGGTATATATATATAATATAATATATAGAGTTGTCAATATTGTGTGAAATAAGCACTCCCAGGCACTGTTTGAGAGCGGAGGCAGCAACTCACTTCAAGCGTCTCTTGCCAAAAGCCCACCCCCAACGAAGGGCAGACTGTCAGCAAAGACGACAACAGTTCTGGAGATATCCAATGTAAGACCAATTGAAGTCCTTCAAATACAGCATCATTTGCATGTGAACTACAAGCATGTTGGTCAGTGTTAAAGAAAAAGAAACTTCTTTATTGAATGTGTTCATTTCTGCATATCGTATTTAGCCGAAGCCGAGGCTGGGCCTGCTTGCTTCACTGAAGCTCGAGCTGGGAGAGGCTTGGACCGGGCTCAGCGGCTCTTGTGGCTGCATCGCTTGTTTCGCTTGCTCTCCTAAGTGGAGTGGAGGTTGGGGCGCGTTGTTGACTGGCGTTTGTCGCTGCGGTAGCAATCAGGACCAGGCTTGGTCTGAGTATGCAAGCACGGAATGTGTGTGTGTGTGTATGTGTGTTTGTGTTGCTGCGTGTTTGTTTGCTGTTTTTGTTTTTGCTTGAGTGTCTTTTGTCTCTTTTTCTCTTCGTCTCTTTGTCTCTTTGTCTCTTTTCTGTCTGTCTGGCTGCCTGCCTGCCTGCCTGTCTATCTGTCTGTTTTTTTGCCGTTGGTTTGCCTGTGTCGGTCTGCTGTCTCTCTGTCCGTCAGTCCGTTTGTCTGTCTGCCTGGCTGTCTGTTTGTCTGTTTGTCTGTCTGTCTGTCTGTTTTATTTGTTTGTTTGTTTGTTTGCTTGCTTGTTTGAGTGTGTTGTTTGCTTCTTTGTTTGGTTTGTGTATTTGTTTATTGGTTTGTTTAAATTGGTGTGTGCGTGTGGGTGTGTTTGTTTGCCGGATTGTGCATTGCTTGGTGTTTGTTTGTTTGTTTGTTTGTTTGTTTGTTTGTTTGTTTGTTTGTTTCTTTCTTTGTTTGTTTGTTTGTTTGTTTGTTTGTTTGTTTGTTTGTGTGTTTGTGTGTTTGTTTGTTTGGTTTGTGTATTTGTTTATTGGTTTGTTTAAATTGGCGTGTGCGTGTGGGTGTGTTTTTTTTTTTTTTTGCATTGCTTTTTTTCTTGCTTGTTTGTTTGTTTGTTTGCTTGTTTGCTGGGTTGCTTGGTTGCTTGATTGCTTGATTGCTTGATTGTTTTTGTTTGTGTTTGTTTGCTTGGTTGCTTGCTTGATTGATTGATTGATTGATTGATTGATTGATTGATTGATTGATCAAATGTTTTGCTTGATTGCTTGCTGGCTGGCTCGCTCGCTCGCTCGCTTGCTTGTGTGGTTCTCGGTTGGTGTGTTAGCAAGCTTGCTTGCTTGCTGGCTCGCTCGCTCGCTGGCTAGCCAGTTTGCTTGCTTGCATGCTTGTTTGTTTGTTGCTTCTTGCCTGGTGCCTGCCTTGCTTTGATTGCCTCGCTGCCTGGCTTATTTGGCTTGCCTCGATCGCTCCGCTTGCTTGCTTCGCTTGCTTGCTTCGCTTGCTTGCTTCGCTTGCTTGCTTCGCTTGCTTGCTTTGCTTGCTTGCTTCCCTTGCTTGCTTCCCTTGCTTGCTTGTTATCTGGTGTTTTGTCCCCGGGATGTTGGCTGCTTGAGCGAATATTCTCAGAGCAGTTCAAGCAAGGCATTATGCTACCTGCCTTGAGAGGAAGTACAAAGCAGACCTGCACATCGAATCAATCAGCATCAGAAAAGCAAGACAGAGCAGGTCATGATGCTGCTTACATATTGAGATCAATCCTGCAGAAGAAGAAGTGTACACGGCACGAACCAGTTCTTTTGCGTTTTTTTTTTCCCCCCCCCGCAAGTAGGAATTGACTGGTCCTTTTGATTGCGACAACTGGCTGCAGGTCTCATAAGCATCAGTCGATGATATCTTCCCTTCGAACTTGAAAACCGAAAGCCCGGCACTGGGCTAAGAGAGGACGATGAACCCTTCACCTTGGAGGATCTCACGGGCTTGCCCCCGCGGAAGGCGGGTCAAGGGTGGCATCGATTGAAAAACCGAACAGGGCACTCACTTGTACATTCAACCTTGCTTTAGATGGGTGCAGTGTTCAGAATGGGGGATAGATCGAGTCGAAATACCAGCTTGAATCATTTGCACGTATAGTTATCAGCCTTATATTATTTAAGGGCTGCCGCCCAGTGCCGCCGACCCCTCCGCTGGGGGCCAGCCGAGGGTTTTTTTTGTTCTGGCAGCGGCTTTTGGTTGGTTCAGGCTTGCTGGCTTGCTGGCTTGCTCGCTCGCTTGATTGTTTGCTTGTTTTCAGCGCTTTTCCAGGCCGCGCTCGTTTGCCCACACAGCGAGCACCAACCAAAGGAGCGCTATATGGAAAGTAGACAGCAATCGGTCCCCAGGGCGCAACCAGCAAGAACAGCTTCGCGTCCAGCGCGCTTGGAGGCCGCACTCGCTTCGCTGCAGCGAGCACGAACCAAAGGAGTGCGCCGGCAGCCTGCTCCGCCGCGGCCGAGTGCCTAACGTCGCATTTGAGTCCAACATGCAGCAAAGCTATCGGTGCAGAGGGAGCGGCCAGCCACAAAAGCTTCGCTTCCCGCGCTTTTCCAGGCCGCACTCGTTTGTCCACAGCGAGCGCCAACGAAAGGAGTGCGCCGGCAGCAGAAAGGAAAAGGAAAGCAACCAAAGGAGTGCGCAGAAAAGGAGAAAAAGGAAGAAAAAAGGCCGTACGGGCGGGCCGCGAGAGAGCTTCAGCGCTGAAAACTGTGCCCTGCAGGTGTTCGAGCGCTGTTTTAGGCCGCACTCGTTTGCCCCCCACAGCGAGCACCAACCAAAGGAGTGCGAAGACAGGCCGAACGGGCTGGCCGTGACAGAGCTTCAGCGCTGAAATCTGCGGCCAGCAGGGGTTTGAGCACTCTCGGCCTTCTCAGCTCAGGGGTAGTTGGTGTAGCGGCATCACACCCAGCATGTGAGAGGGCGGGCTCAATCCCCGGCCTGTCCATGCCCATGCGCGCCTGCGTCTGGGACAGTCTGCCGATCCCTGCTCTTCTTTCCTTTGGGTTTGCTGTGCGTCTTGCCAAGGGCGGCTGTTTCCACCGCGGCCGGGTGCCGAACGTCACTGTAGAATCCTATACAGAAGGTAGAAAGCTATCGGTCCCCAGGGCGCGACCAGCAAGAACAGCTTCGCGTCCAGCGCGCTTGGAGGCCGCACTCGCTTCGCCGCAGCGAGCACGAACCAAAGGAGTGCGCCGGCAGCCTGCTCCGCCGCGGCCGGGTGCCTAACGTCGCGTTTGAGTGGCCTCTTTTCGCTGTGGGCAAACGAGCGCGGCCTGGAAAAGCGCTCAAGCACCTGCAGGGCACAGTTTTCAGCGCTGAAGCTCTGTCACGGCCCGCTCGTCCGGCCTTTTTGCTTCCTTTCTGCTGCCGGCGCACTCCTTTGGTTGGTTCTCGCTGTGGGCAAAGGAGTGCGGGCCCGCCCGTTCGGCCTCTAGTCTTCCTTTCTGCTGCCGGCGCACTCCTTTGGTTTCTTTCCTTTTCCTCTCTGCTGCCGGCGCAAGCGCGGGAAGCGAAGCTTTTGTGGCTGGCCGCTCCCTCTGGGCCTTCAGCGCTGAAAGCTATGCGCAGCAGGTATTTGAGCACTCTCGGCCTGCTCAGCTCAGGGGCAGTTGGTGTAGTGGTATCACACCCGCTCAGCATGCGAGAGGGGCTGGGTTCAATCCCCGGCCTGTCCATGCCCATGTGCGCCTGCGTCTGTCACAGTTTGCCTCTCCCTGGTCTTTCATCCCTTTGGGTTTGCTGTGCGTCTTGCCAAGACCGGCTGGTACGCCGCGGCCGGGTGCCAAACGTCACTTTTGAATCCTATATAGAAAGTAGAAAGCTATCGGTCCCCAGGGCGCGACCAGCAAGAACAGCTTCGCGTCCAGCGCGCTTGGAGGCCGCACTCGCTTCGCCGCAGCGAGCACGAACCAAAGGAGTGCGCCGGCAGCCTGCTCCGCCGCGGCCGGGTGCCTAACGTCGCGTTTGAGTGGCCTCTTTTCGCTGTGGGCAAACGAGCGCGGCCTGGAAAAGCGCTCAAGCACCTGCAGGGCACAGTTTTCAGCGCTGAAGCTCTGTCACGGCCCGCTCGTCCGGCCTTTTTGCTTCCTTTCTGCTGCCGGCGCACTCCTTTGGTTGGTTCTCGCTGTGGGCAAAGGAGTGCGGGCCCGCCCGTTCGGCCTCTAGTCTTCCTTTCTGCTGCCGGCGCACTCCTTTGGTTTCTTTCCTTTTCCTCTCTGCTGCCGGCGCAAGCGCGGGAAGCGAAGCTTTTGTGGCTGGCCGCTCCCTCTGGACCTTCAGCGCTGAAAGCTATGCGCAGCAGGTATTTGAGCACTCTCGGCCTGCTCAGCTCAGGGGCAGTTGGTGTAGTGGTATCACACCCGCTCAGCATGCGAGAGGGGCTGGGTTCAATCCCCGGCCTGTCCATGCCCATGTGCGCCTGCGTCTGTCACAGTTTGCCTCTCCCTGGTCTTTCATCCCTTTGGGTTTGCTGTGCGTCTTGCCAAGACCGGCTGGTACGCCGCGGCCGGGTGCCAAACGTCACTTTTGAATCCTATATAGAAAGTAGAAAGCTATCGGTCCCCAGGGCGCGACCAGCAAGAACAGCTTCGCGTCCAGCGCGCTTGGAGGCCGCACTCGCTTCGCCGCAGCGAGCACGAACCAAAGGAGTGCGCCGGCAGCCTGCTCCGCCGCGGCCGGGTGCCTAACGTCGCGGCTGAGTCCAATATGCAGCAAGGCTATGGGTCTAGAGGGAGCGGCCAGCCAGAAAAGCTTCGCTTCCCGCGCTTTTCCAGGCCGCACTCGTTTGTCCACAGCGAGCGCCAACCAAAGGAGTGCGCCGGCAGCAGAAAGGAAAAGGAAAGAAAAGAAACGAAGAAGAACAAGAAAAAAGGGAAAGAAAGAAGGCTGGTAAGGTACAGGGCTGAACGAGCGAGGGCGAAAGGGAAGGGAGAAGGCTGCCACAGTCACGCTCCAACGCTAAACGAACACTCCCCCAGCGCCTTCCCCTTGCAGGCAGGGGGTCGGCGGATACAGCAGGCCATTACTTGGCATCTTCAACTTTCTTAGGGCTATCCGTCAAATGCAGAGACCTCCAGCATTCACTGGGTGCCATTGGAATGACCGTTTCACAGCTACTGGTATGTCGCGCTTTTGTTGTTTACCGCCCAACAGGCGCGGTCCTTCTTGCTGCACTCGCTTGGATGGCCTTACAGACCCATTGCGTTGACCATTCAAGTAAATATTGCCACAGCAACATACCCATCCTTGTGTTTGGATTGTTTCCAGCTCACAATTGTTTGATGCATCTACAGTAAATCGAAGTCAGAAGACTGTACTTTTCTTTGAGTCGAGGACAGGAAGGTCGCCATTTGATTGTGTGAACACCCAAGCTGACACCCTCATTGGATACATGTCCCATTCGAAGATGGGCCCAGATCTAAAGAGTAATACATGTCCAACGGAGAGCGAATGACTACTTCAACGTTATTTGTGGTGCTTAATTACTTTGGGGCTTCGGGCTCGCAAGCATACAGGCAGCTACGCAGCCAAGGCGGGGGTTGGTGTGAGCGGTCGTGGGTGAGGAAAGTTGGAGGGTTTTGAGTGGCTGAAGATTGGCACTGTAGTAGTGATTGATTTGCGATGGCCTGCCATTTTTCCCACCGCAGACAGAGTTTTGTCTAGCGTTTTGGCGAGCAGCCGGCTCGAGTGGGCATGTAGTGCACCTCACTAGCAGATCAGCCACACTTGCCGGAGATTTCGAGTGCACAACGGCTCGGTGCACGACGGCTTCCAAGCTGCTCGCATTTTGACGTTTTCAGGCCGCCGACCCGCACTCTCGCAGAGCACGGGCCCCAGAAAGTCGTGGCAAATGGCAACCGCTGATCCTTTCTCATGGGGACCGGAAAGGATATGCGTGATGGTGAGGGGTAACAGAATGTAACAGAGCTCTCTGCAAGTTGACGCACTGGTCTGTCCAGCCAAAGCCTGCTCTGCAAAAGTCTGCTCTGTAGGCATAGGGAAATCACTCAAAATCCGGATACATATCGAGGGCATGCAACGAGAGGACAATTTGAGGCAACGTGAGGTGTGAAGCGAATATGCTACAAGGGGGTATGTAACTAGTATGTAACGAGAAGAAGAAAAGCTGGAACAGTTATCAAGGAGGGGCAGGAAGAATCTTCTTTGTGCTAAGGAATTCATATCCGTCGGCTTCCCTCAAGTGGGTCAAACATAGGTACCCAGCATGGCACCCTGGTAAACGGAACGGACCAAAATCTGCGGTCCATGTGAAACATTGATCCGAGGGAGGCGGATCGCCAGCGGAGGGCCATGGAGCAAGAGCAGCGCCTCGAGCGGCTCAAGGAGCCACGGGTAAGCGGAGCCATCGGAGTTGCTTGGAAAAGGAGCTGCCGGGTTCCGAGTTTTGTACTGACGCGAGAGAGTTGATGGTAACCGGAGGAGCGGCGAATGCAAAAGGAGAAAGCCAAGGCTTGGGAAATGAAGGCGCGGGCAGTTAGACATGCGTGTTGCCTCTGAGACAAGCATGCCCCAGTATGTTTCACATGTGAATGGCATTGGCATGAGCAGGTGAGGAAAGTTCAAAACCACTTTGTGTTGCGATTCAAAGCGGGTGGTCATAAGGCCGCCGGGCATCGCAAACATGTCGCGGCGCAAGTGCAAGTCTCGTAGGGTGATCGGGTAAGCTACCCTGTGCTCGCGAGAGCTCGCTTGAGCAGCTCGATATTAGAAATCCTTGAGGACGTTTTGAACGCTCAGGTGAGTCCAGCCTTCAGCATATCTGATTGAAAGCCCGAATATCGTGACCATTTTCGCAGGACGTTGGGCAACCTTTCAGTGTGGGGAAGCCCAGCGGCCTGTGGCTACAGACGTTCGATGAGGAGTCGCCTGAGGGCTAAGATCATTGGTTTTTTGCTTTAATGTGAGGATCTGGAGAGGCATGTAGCTTGAGCAGCCGAGTTCGAATTGCTGATAGATGATTGAGATCAATGTTGCCCTGAGCACGCTTAGATTGCAAGAAACGACTGCATCGTGAAGCCGAAGCCATGCATGAATCAGGATTGATGCAGGTTATGATGAAAAGGCTTTGGACATAGTCATGACATGATGTCTTTGCCAAAACCCGCAAGGCATCGAGTGTGCTTGAGGCAAGTATTTTCTGCTCGCAGCTGATCTTTGCTGGCATGCTCAGTGACAATTAATTCTCCGAACACTTCCTTCCAGTCGTTGCACTTCGCAAGATGCGGCTGAAAGGCATATGCATTGCACTGTGAGCAAGCCTGAGGCTTACCACCCGCGAGGGTAAGATCAGTGAGGCAAGCGATTTGCATGGGTCCGAGGATACGCCACTGTCAAGACTAACTATGTACAAACATTCGTTGACTCGCACTCTCAATAGTGGCGTTTGACCCTTGCCAGCAGCTGTTTGGGAACAACATCTCAACATCTTCCATGCCGCAGATTGCTGCCATCGTAGGCGTGCCTGAGGCCCGGCAGTGTAGGTTGTTTCACATGATAGACACTGGCCGGCGGCCGCCGCAAAGGCCGCGTCTCAAACTCTGGACCCCAAAAGGCAGGGAGCTACAGCAACTCAACCCTTTTCGCCTTGCTTGCACTCTAGGTGTGTTTTGCGTATTCACCCTGGGAACATGCCACACAATTGGTAGCTTAGGTCTCTGCAATTGCGGCATGGATGCCAGGCCGAGACAAAAAAAAGAAAGAACGTGTCGAGCGTGCAAGGGTGTCCTTGGACGTAACGCAAGCCTGCACACGTACAGAAGCGGGACGCCTCAGCTTCCGCATTGCGTTGCGACAAGGCGGACAAACCGAGGCGACAGTCAGTCGGAACATTCTCCAACGTGGAAAAGCCCAAATGGTGTGTGTTAAAGTCTGAGAAGGCGCAGCCGTGCAGCCCGGCTTCATCAGACAACAGTAGTCGTTTGGGCATGAATCCAAGATGCAACCTCGGCAATTTGTGCACTTTTCAAGGTCGAGATGGCTGACCGCGTAGTCACGGCGGACCCGCTTACGTTAACTCGCTTACGTTTCAAAAGCGTTCGGGCCTGGCGAGCAGTGAGGGCGCGGCAGGCCCGCGCTGCAGCCCGTGCTCCCGGCCGGCCCCTGACGGCCTTCTCGGCGCCGGCCCCGGCGCCTGCATCCGCACCAGCCGCCAGGCCCCCGCGCTTGCTGCCTGCCGCGGCCTGCGCGTTCGGGCCCGCTCGTGCGCCCGTGCTCTCCCAGCCGACTGCGGACTGCGCCTTGGCGACGGCTCCCCCCGTCGCCACCTCGGCGCCGCTCGCGTCGTCGCAGGCCCGGGTGCCCCTGGCCTCCTCTCCGTTCCTCGGTGCCGCATTCGGGCCCCCCGGCGCTGCCGCGGAGCCTTCGCCTTTCGTGGGGGCCGGGGCTGCCCCCCTCGCCTTTTGCCGCCCTGGGTGGTTCCGCCGCTTCCCGGCCGTCTCCATTCGGCGCGCCCTGGGCCAAGTTTCGGCCGTTCGACAGGCGGGTGTCTCTTACCGCGCCGGTTCCTAGGTGCCTCCCGCCCTGGCGGCCGCGCCTTCGACCGCCCCTGTGAACGCGGGCTTGCTCGCTGCCTAGCCTACTTCGGCGCGTGGCAGACAATAGCAAGCAGACGTTGTTTGCCCTCAGGTGTGCCGCGGCCGCCCGGGCCTCTGTTTCTCGCCTCGCCGCCGGCTAGTTCAGCCGCCTCGGCTCGTGGTTTTCGGCAGGTTGGCACATTCGGATACCCGCTGGCACGCCTGCTCGCTGCCTGGCCTGCTTTGAAAACCTGGCAGCGCGCAGCCACAATTTGTTGCTTTTCTCAGGTGTGCTGCAGTCGCCCGGCCCTCAACTTCTAGCTTCGGTGCTGCTCCGGTTAGCCGCCTCGGCTCCTGGTTCGCGGTACTAAGGCCCGCCCAAATCGCCGACTTGCTAGGGTGTTTTGTCAGCAGCTTGGCGGTGTCTTGATTTCTGCCCGCCTTTTTTTTGGGTAGGCTCACTGTTCGGCCCCAGCCTTCCTCCGGCTCGCAACTGAGGCTGCGCTTTACCCAGGGGCTAAAAGAGCGTCTCACTAGCTTTCACCCACCGGCCCCCACTGGCACTTGCAGTCTCAACTAGTTTCCTTTTCCCGCTGGCTTGCGAGATCAAAAAGAGCAACCCGAGCGGCTTGGCTGGGTAGAGTCGGGGGCTGCCGTTTACGCCTGCATCGGCGCTATAGTCGCGACTCACAGCGCAGCCGGCGTTGCTTGCGTGGCTCCCCACTGCTTCATGTCCGGGCGCTCGCGCAGCGCAACCCCCTCTCGGCGGCGCGCGCGGGAGAGCCCGGAGGAAGCTTTGCTTGACGGGGCCACTGCGCCCTCGCAGCCCGCCGCGGTCACACCGCCTCACGTGCTTTTGCCGTCGGACGATTCGCATCCGCGCTCGGAACCAGACGATTGCTGCGTCTGCCTAGAGCCAGCCCCTCCGCCCGGACGGCCATCACGCTGCACGCCCGGTGCCCCTGCCAGTTTGCCCGCGGCACGTCCTCCATCTTGGCTGTCTGGCGCAGCTCGGCGTCCAAGCGCGCCGCCCCAGCGATGTTGCCTGTCCTTTGTGCCACCACGGGGCATGCCCTGTGTGCGTGGCTGGCGGGTGGGCCCCGGAACCTGACGACCAGCTGACAGCTTGGTGCCGCGAGGCGGGCCTTCATCCACCGTCTCGTCTTCCGGACCGGCGCACCGACCAGGCCAGCGTCGCGGACTACGCGATCCGCACCTTCACTGGCCAGGACGCCCCGGAACCGCAGGCGCCGGCACATGTCGTTGTTAACTGCTGCCGGAGGTTGGCAGCCGTGCGCGCGGGCCCCTGGCAAAGCGATCCTGATTTCATCGAACTTGCGCACCGCGCCGCGCCTTGGTCGCCAATCCCTCGGCGCCATGAGCGCGGCGTAGCCGCTTGGCAAGGCGCATGGGTGTGCCCGCGGTGCGCGCGTGCCATTTATTGGGAGGAGGTGCGCGTGCCAGCGGGGGCGGGCGCAGCGTGCCCCGACTGCGGCGCGCTGCGGGTGTGGGAGCATGACGTCACTTCCAGTGCTGGCCGGCTCACGTGCAGCTGTCCCACTGTCCCGCCTACGCCACTTCCCTTGTCAGCTGTCGCCCCGCTGCGCCCGCAGCCGCCCGCGGACGTCCCCATGCCGCAGCTCCGGACGGAGCCGGTCCATGCCTCCGATTCGGAGCCTGAAAGCCGCGCTGCGGTGGGCGAGCCGCCTGAGCTGGCGCAGACCGCGTGGCAGCGAGCGGGGCCTCCTCCGGGCGCAGTGGGCGCCACCAATTCTTGGCTGTACGTGCCGTTGCTACACGCAGCTGCCGGCAGGTTGTGCGCACATTCCCTTTCCCACTGGAGGGCTGACCGACGGGCAGCGCCTGCTCCCCCATCCGCCCTTCTCGCTTTCCTGGAAGCCTCGCCGGCTGATGGGGCTGCAGTCTTGGCGACGCAGCTGCAGCAAGCCACGACGCTGCTGCCGTCTGGCGCGCAAGTCCACCTGGCTTGGGCCACCCGCGTTCTGTCGCGGGCGGACGGCTACATCATATCCCCGGCGCAGGAGGCCTGCTTACAGGTGTTTGGCGGGCTGCGGTTTGCTTCGGCGCTTGATCGCCACGCCAGCTCGTTCCGGCTCCCGCCAGCGCCTGCCGCGGCCGCGCCTGGCGCGCCTGCCGAGCGGCGCGGCCTTGCCGCGAGCGAAACGCCTGCGGCTGGCCGCAGTGGGGGCAATTGTGTGCCGACGCCTTCGCCGGTGCCAGTCGACCTGCCCGAACACGCACCGCCGGCGCAGGACCGACCGGACGCTGCCGGGCGAGACGGCGTTGCCCCGGCTGCGCCTCGCCGACGCCGTCGCCGTCCCCGCCGCACGCATGGCGCTGCCCCGGGGCCTGGTCCTGCCGCGGCGGGTCCCCATGGGGACGACACCGACAGCACCCTGAGCTCTGTTGCGCGGGCCCTCGATCACTGAGTTTGCGAGCCCTGTTCCTACTCTGCAAGGGGTTCCGCTGTGCACCGATGACCCCCGGACGGGGGCCACGCAGTTGCGCGCTTGGAAGCTTTTCCTGCTGCTGCCAAGGCTGCTGTTCACACGCGGCGCCTCTCGGGGCGCGGAAGGCAAGGCGGAACTCCTGCAGCGCATCTCGGACTTCCACGCCGGCCGCTGGGAGGCGCTGCTGGACCGAGCGCGCGCCCTTCAACCTGGCGTGCGCACCTCGGAGCTGCCCACGTCGGCGCAGCTGCGTGCGCGTGCGTGCGCCCAGGTCCGGCAGGGCGACTTATCCCGCGCGCGGCGGACACTCACTTCAGCCTCGCTGGCCCCGGGCGATGAAGCAACCCTGGCGCCGGCTGCGCAAGGAGAGCCCGACCTCGCCGATGTCCTTGGTTTGGCTGGCCCGTCCGGGCCCAGCCTTCTGCTTTTGCGCGGCTAGTCGCCACGTCGGCGCGCGCGCTTCGTTCGCCTTTCTCGGCGGCCGTTTCGGGTGGGGGGGGTTGAGGGCTCCCTGGGTCTCACTGCCGCTGGACGGAAAAAGGCGTGCGTAAAAAAAACAAACACGTAGTTGCGGTGAACCCGCCTACGTTTCGAAACTTGGCTGGCGGCCGCACAGCGCAAGATGGGGCTGCATGCTTTTTCCGGAGCCTGCAAAAAGCATTAGGGCCTTGCAGCTGCGGACCACACAGCCACGTTCCAGAACGCGCGTTTTGGCATACGTTCCAAAACGCACGTTGCGCGCTACTAAGCATCCTTGGTGTCTTGATCGCTGAGGCATTTGGATTGGATGACCGTGAAGGGCACTCGCTCTTGCCAGTCTAAAACAGGTGCAGTCCAAAAGGCGCAGTGCCTTGGCAAGCCCAAGCTGGCACACACATGCTGGAATGCCCTCTGGAGTTTGGAGCCTTTTGCTGGCTGGCAACTCGCTTTGGCTCTTGAACTTGCGTTTTGCCATAAGCTAGCAAGCCGCTCATGTGGAAAAAGTATTCCTTTTTTTTGCTGTTGCAGGTTCATTTTGATTTTTGTCCAATAGAACGTGGGCCATCTGTTGGGCCTCAAATATTTTTTCTGGCCCTTCTCATGGTTCTGGCTGCGTTGCTTGTTTTCCCCTTGGTGCCGCCGAGTTGCGCTCCTGCTTTGTTTGTTTTTTCTATGCTCTGCTTGCCCACGGAAGCTGGAACTTCGTTCTTGGTGACCAAACTGAGGCTCGAATCTGCCTACCCTTCAGAGCTGTCACTTCTCTTTGGTTTCGTTCATGTGCCTGGTCCAGCCAATGCCTTCTCCAGGCAATCCCAGAGAAGCGACGCAAAAACAAAATAGCTGGCAACCTTCATAGTGCGTGCGTGGTGGCTCGAACCGAAAAGGCTACGGGTATGAAACATTTTTCCAATTCAGCATGCTGCGCAAAACCAACGAGCCTGCATCAGGCAAGCCAGTCAGTGGCATAGCTGCGCACTTCTGTGATCTCACAGGTTTGAGATCACATGGAGTAAGAAACCGACTTCTTAATGGTTGCTAGGATGTTTTTCTGACTCAGCTCTTGCAGCATGATGCCCGTCATGTCCAGCAGCCGGAAAAGGAAGCTTCCAACGTGCTTTCTGGCACATCAGTTCCTTTGGTGGGAAAAGTCAATTTTGTGTCTCACTCAGCTTGGCAGCGCACTTGTCAAGCTGATCGAGTTTGCTGTGCTGGTCCCCTTCGATTGGCTCCAACTGGCTGCGCTTTCCATCCCGCCCAGCTCAGAGGTGAGACTGCTTTAGACTTCGGATCCTCAAAAGAAGGCAAGGGTCTTGCCTCTGGCCAATGATTGTCCCCCGCAATGCCTTGCGCATGGCGTCGCAAGTTCCTGATACCTGGGATAAGTAGCAAGAATGCCCCTGTGTTGGCCCACTTGGTCCTGAGTCCACCAGCCAGAGCTTGTTTCGTAGACAGTGGATTCAGTGTCCACGTCTTCATTCACATTTTTTTCTTGGACACCTCGGGGTCTAAGCTGTAGGCGGTGTAAAGAAACTCGCGCTTCTGCTGCTGAGTGGGGCACGCGGAATACTGCTCAGCCAGCTGTGGCTTCCCATCCTCTTTTAGTTTTGCAAATCTCTTGGTTATTTCCACAGCATTTTTTTTTTGGGGCGGGGGGGAATTGCGGGGAATGTCTGCTGAGGCAGGCCAGGCTCAAGCTTGACCTTGACTGCCTTTTTTGCGGGCAGGCCTTGCTCAGGCTTGTTTTTGCTTTGGGCCTGGGCATTGCCTTCTTCAGGCAAGCGCGGGCTAGCATCAGCATCCTGTTTCTCAATATTCGCAGCCGGTCTCTTTTTCGCCATGGCTGTGGGAAAGGGCTTGGCCGCCAAAGGCTCCAAGTTTGAAAAAAAGGTTTAAACCAAGCAAAAGAATCCACGAAAGTTTCCTTGGAAAAGTGCCCCTGGAAACTTTTCCTCCTTTGCTTGTAAACCTTTACTAACAGGGGTGTAGACAAGTTTGCAGGGAAACTTTTTAGGAAACTTTTGGGGAAGACAGCCAAAAAATCAGTAAGTGTTGGCCACACATAAAAAGATCTGATAATAAATGCACAAACATTGTTGGATCCAGATACGTCAAAACAAGCTGGAGTGCGATGAGAGTGCGGGGTGTGTGGAGCCCCCCCCCCCCCGCCACAGAGCCTGCGGCTTACCGAGTGCGCGTGCAGGAGCCAGAGAAATCTCAGCTTGTCGCGTTGCCACTTCCTGCCAGCTGCGCAGCAGGAGGGGCAAGCTTCAGATTTTAGCCCCAGTCGGCTACGGGGAAAGGAGGACACACCTTCCCGAAAGGCCTGAGGCTGGAGGCGAGTGCTGCCCGCCTCGAGATTGCAGACCCGATGGCGCCCACGGGCGCAGATGATGTTGCTCAGAGGATCTGGCTGGAGCTCACCTCTTGCAATTCCTGGCTTTTCCACCTTCGCCAGCCGGTTTGGGCGCAGGGGGGTTGTCGCCGGCAAAGCGGAATGCTGATGGCGTTGCTGAAGCAAAGCAACCACACAAGATGCAGCGAACGCACCAAGAGTGAACCGCATTGGGCACCTCACGGAGTTGGAGGTCCAGGACCTTGTTGCCCAGTGGGGCGAGCCAACTGCGGCTGAGAATCCTTGAGAGCCGGCGGTGGCTCAGGTTACAACGCAAACGCAGCCGGGACTGGTAGCAACAAGCAGTCCGGATGCTGAATTGAGAGGCGTGTCAATAGCAGCCCGAGAAGAGATGCATGACCTTGCTGAGCTGGATTTCTGCCTGCCGGTGTCCCAACCAAGGGTTTGGAGTGACAGCTCATCTGGAACCCAAACTGGTAAGAGGATCGGGCCAAGCTGAGACACCTGGAAGTGTCCTTCAAGCTGCAGTGCAGAGTGGAAAGATCTTCGTCAGGAACATCAAAGGCATTGCCGGGGACATTTCTGACCAAACATCCCAAAAGTGGCGGCGATGTTATTTGGATTGACCATCATGGAGCATGTGCCTGGCGCGCTTGACACACAACGTTACGAGGTCAAATCGACTTCGGCAAGTACCAAAACCGAAACGACCAGCACAGCTTGGTACCAAAAAGGGGCTACAATGAAGAACATGTTGAAAGCACACTTGGCTCAAACCCCTACGCCAAACATAGCACCCCCCTTGAAAGCAGTTGGGTTGGGCGCGTGAAACCTGGCTACGGCTCGCGGGGCATCGCGGGGCTACCCGCAACAGCGTCATCATATCTCCGGTTCCGCGCGGGTCGGCCCGCAACGGTAGCGGCAGTCGTGGGCACCCGTGCCGGCATCATCGGCTTCCAGGTGTCAAAGCCAGAAGTCAGGCAAGGGGCAGCGTGCGAAGGACGTGGCCGAGTTGGGGGATGGCGCAGATGGTCCTGCTTGACGCGGAGTTGATGCAACTGAGCCGCGGCAAACTCCGGGTCGCCCATCGGCGCGTGATGCCGCGTTGCGCCGCCGGTAGTTGCTGGTCCGGTCCGGTCGGACACAACCGGGTCAAGGCAGGCGGGGCACACGTCTGTGCTTTGCAATGGGCATGGCTGGAAGCCCACAATCATTCCATTCGGGTAGGCAGGCGTGGCTGCTGTAAGGGCTCATGCGTGTCAACCGGCGACGAAGAAACGTCGTCAGGACCGGCTGACATGACCGCCGCTTAGCTTCGTTAACCGCTTGTTAAAACTGGGCCGGTTCTTTAGTTAAGTTGACAGCTTATTTTTTTGAGTGTTCGTTTTCCCCCCTTTTCTTCGGGCCTGTTTTTTTTTGTTTCTTCTTCTTTTTCTTCTTCTTGGCGCGGCCTCCACGGGGAGGTCTTAGAGCATCTTAGAGCAGAGCTGTTTTGACACGCCAACTTCCAGGTGCGAACAACGGCGCCCTGTTTTTTTGAGGTGGTTCCAGGCTCCACCGGACGCACCCAACCCAAACGGAACAAAGAAAACAAAGGGCAGCCCAAAAACAACAGAAAAAACAACTAGGAACCACCAAAAAAGGCTCACGACTCAGTAGGTTTTTTGCGAGATAGTTGCCAACGAACTGCTGTTGTGGGGTGGGAAGCAGCTCCCGTGTGGACACCTCTGATATCCCCCTTGTCGCTTCGGATTTGGCCCAATTGCGTTTGAACAGGTCTCCGCAAAACAATTTACCATAATTTACCCAAATAGCTACACAACAGCCAGCCATTTCCAGGAAATTGCAAGGTTCGCTAACGAAGCGGTTCTCAGAAACTTTGTTTTCCGCGAATTCAACTGCAAGCCAATGGCGCCCAGCTCCAAGATCAGACTTTCCAACAATGTATATCAATTCGTCGCAAGACTTTGCACGTAACATGATGTTGTTAGCAAAGCAAACGTTTGTCAATCGCTCTTCATGCTCTTCTTTGCCCACATGCCGGCCATGGTTCCTCAATCTCTGCTTCCAATGTCGCATGGCATGTTCTAGGTCTGCGACGAAAACAATATCCGATAAGTACTGTGTAGAATCATCGGGCGAGCTGATGCCACCCTGTCCAGATCCGAAAAGTCAGACAATCCTCGCGGTCCGATTTCCCGTGTGTCGTCGAAACTGCTCTCGAATTTGCTTGGACAGAACTGCTCGTTCAGCTCGGATGCCCGCTTGCTTGCCCGCTTGCTTGCCCGCTGGGTGGCCGCGCCACCTACTCACCTCAATGACAGGCGCTGAGGAGTCATTGCCAACGAGCTGCTAAAAAACAACATACGCGCAACTTGCGGCTGACGCGACAGGTGCCCCGCAGTGGACAGCGTTGTTGCTGGCCAAGTCACTGTTTCAGTTGTTGATGACGTTCGCCGGCTTTGGCTTCCAGGTGCAGAATCGTTAGTTTAGCCAGCTTATTGGTTAAATTCTGGCAGCAGTTTAACCCGTTACGTGTTTTCCGACAACCCTGTCCCGAGCCAAGCCTTGTTGACCTGCACTAAGGAGGCAGCAGCCGGGTTTGTTTTTTTGGGGACGTGTTGCCGCATGAGCGGGATATGTTTGCCATGGATGGGCGCAGCTCCGGCGAATCTGCAGCCTGGACCTTACGCATGTCATGGGCATGGCTTGGTGGCACTTGCCAGGAACCTGAGGTTTGATCACGCGCCACTGGATTTCTTTGCCCAAACGCGTAGTTTATTTTTCATTTTATCAATGACAGCTGCAAGAGAATGCTCTGTGCAGCAATGGTAGACAAGGCGCAGCTTGCAGCACTGCGCGGGGACATCGCAGCATTGGTCCGAGAGGCTGGCGGCTGCGCGCGCGCGCGCGCGCGCGCCGTTGGGACAGTGGTCCAACACGACGGTTGAGGGCAATGAACAAAATTGGTTGTAGCGGCCAGCGCCTGAAATTCAATGTGGCTGTTGCAGAGATTGCAAATTTATGCTGGTTGCGCATGTTGACTGGGTACTACATCCCCGCTCGGGAATCAAAACCCGTATCAGGTTGGCCAGCTGCAAGGCGTGGCGAAGAGTGGCGCGCAGGCGTGGCCGAGCGAAATGGAAACCAACGGAACTCCGAGGCCAACCAACGGAAAGCGCCACACCACGCGTTGGGTCAGGAGAAATCAGGGAAGCGGCCAAATCAGGGAAATCAGGGAAAACCTTTGCGTCAGTTGGGGTTCAGAATTGGGGCTGCTCGGTGGTCTCAGTCCTCTTCGGCCAGTTTTTGTTACTTATTTATTTGATTTTATTTTGCTGCTCATCGGGCAATTGGGCCAACACAAAGCGATGCCAGCAGGGCAAAAGTTCTGGATCTTTTGCTGTTTAACCGTTAAACAGCAACAGATCGAGAATAGTTGCCCTGCTGGCATCGCCTGGTGTTGGCCCAGCGCCGCCTATAATTAGTCGATTATAGTATTGGTTTACACTCACTTTGTCCACACCAGGAAAACACATTTTGTGATTGGCCTTTTCATGCTCCGCTTGTGTTCCACTCTCCTTGGACTTGATGCGTACCCGCATCAAATCCAACACATTCCCTTGGTCTCGATCCAAGATGCAGGTATCAGCGGAGGAAAGCCTGGAGCCCAAGCTGTTTCACATGAGCATCAATCTTACCTTGTCTCCCGTGCACGTTCCGAGGCCATGCCGTGCTGAACCAGGCAAGTTGAATGTTCGAAAGCTTTGACCCATCTTGACCCACCATGGGGCGGGCAAGGCCATGCTGCGTTGTTGAGTGTTAAGGCCTTTCTGCGGTGCCCTCACACTTTCAAGCACAACAATGCCATGCCTACAATGCCCTTGAGTGGCCTGGCTGCCTCCAGCCACGTGTCAGGTGGCTGCGCTTCGTGGTCAGATGTCCACTGTCTTGGACGCTTTGGCTCCCACATTGCAGGAGCAACTTGGATTTTGGTTTCTGCTTGCCGGAAGGGCATGGACACTTGAATTTCTGCCAGGGCGATTCTGCATAAAATGCGTTTCATGTTTGCTCCGTCCAGCCTAGACTGCACTTTCTTCTTGTCGGCACGTTGGCCTGCCCGAAGCCCACCTGTCTTGATGGTTAGAGGTGGTGGTTTGATGGTGCAACAGCAGTTCTTCCGTGCGCGGCTTGCTGGGCCACGTCGCGGGTCGCAGGAGAAGGCAAGCAAGTCCGATCCCGAATTGGCCAACGCAGTCTCCGGGCAAGGCCGCCCAGAGATGGGCTTGGCGGTCGCATGCTAGTGGCCTTGTTGATTTCCGTTTGCGGGTGCGGCAGGGCATAGGAGGATGTAGGAGGGGAATGATGGTGAAAACCAGTGCTTTACGGCGGACTGTCAATGTGTTTGTTCTTACGAGTAAACGCCAGAGCCGCAGATCCTGCGGCACGCGGTCCGACACATGTGGATGTTTGGCGCTGCGCTGGCTTAGGCTATCTACGCTGTGCGAAGCCACAATGAGATACTGCCAAGAAGCTGCAGGCCGCGGTGGAGCCATGAGTGTATCCAAACAGAATTCGCCAATTGAATCTAGCACCGGTTTTCAAGCCACGGGGCAGCATGGCCAAGGGAACGCCAAAAACCGTCGGATTCCACAGGTGGCCAGGCTGCGCTCACATCGCAGCTTGCCGAATTGCAAGAGGCAGGACAGTTTGAATCTGCAGCGCTGATGGCCCATGCCATGAATCTGGCGATGGCCGATGATCAAAGCATTGCCATGAATCCTTGCTGGTGTTTGTTGATAGGCCATGCCAGCTCTGCTGCCCACCCAGGAAACAGGAGTCATGGCAGCAGCACTCCGCCGCTTGCGCAGTGTGCTTCAGGCGGGACTTGCGATGTGGTGCAAATGACGGCAACTCTAGCCAGCTCAAAATTTGGGATGAGGTCTTGCGCAGGCACACGTTCTGACTCACATACGTGCCCAAGTCTCAGCTCTCGACATGGTTTTTCGCGGTGCGAGCGCGCGCACACACTCACACACGCAATCACACACACACAATCACACACACACAATCACACACACAATCACACACACAGACAGACACACACACGCAGACAGACACACACACAAACACAAACACACAAGCACACACAAACACACAAACACACACACACAATCACACAAACACACAATCACACACAAACACACAAACACACAATCACACACACACACAATCACACACACACACACACACTATCACACACAATCACACACACAATCACACACACACAATCACACACACACAATCACACACACACAATCACACACAATCACACACACACCCACACCCACACCCAGACACGCACACACGCGCGCACACAGACACGCAGACGCACAGACGCAGACACAAAAAGACAGGGACGCAGGGGGGAACAGAAAGAGACACAGAGACACAGACACCTAGACACGCAGGCACGCAGACGCACAGACCCAGAATGCGCAGACGCGCAGACACGCAGAGACAGAGACACAGACAGACCCATCACATACACAAAGACACACACACACACAGACCACCACACCAACACACAGACCAACACACAGACACATACACACACTCGCGCACGCATACACCCTCACCCGGACCTGCACCTGGACAACTGTTTACATATACACACACACACACGCACGCACGCACACACACACACACACACACACACACACACACACACACACACACACACACACACACACACACACACACACACACACACACACACACACACACACACACACACACACACACACACACACACGCAGACACGCAGACACGCAGACACACACACACACTTACACACACACACACTTCCACACACACACACACACACTTAACACACACACACACACTTACACACACACACACACACACACACGCTTACACACACACACACACACACACAACACAGGTCTCACATACCACACGCACGCGCGCGCAACACACACACACACATAGAGGACACAAAACACGAAACACAGCACCACAGGCAACACAACATGCAACGCACAACACGCCACCCACAACACGCAACACCATGCCACGCCATGCCACGCCATGCCACAAGCCTATTTAGCACTTGCAGGGAGACGTGGAAAACGCCTTCAAGCAGATTATCAACGAAGCCGCGCGGATGCCAAATGGGAATGATCCAGTTCCGGCGATTAGTCCAAGCATGTCACGGGGCATCAAGATTGCCCCACAGCATCCCACAGCCAGTACACAGTTTTGACGGGGTCAGGGTGAAGGCCATCGGGGTGCAGGGCTGCGATTGGTTGTTCGCGTGCGCTGACAGATTTGGCTGTAGCGATTGCAAGTTACGAAGGGCAAGACACGATTGGAGCCAAATTGTTGTGCACAGTTCCCAGCACAGGTGACGTGCATGTCCAGGTCGCTCAATGACCTGGGGTTGAAGAATGAATGCGTCGCCTGCAAGCATCACGCCATGCATTCCTCGCATGAAATGTCGAGGCCACTTGCTTCCTTGGAAAGTTTCTCCCACCGTAAAGTTGCTTTCCACTGCCAGCCCCTCACCTGTCATGGCCTGCAGCCCGATTTGCCCAACCACAAGCTTACGGCGCCCTGTGAGGCGGGCAACTGCATTGCAACCCTTTTGCGTGGCCAGCGGCGGCCAATGTTCCCTGAGCAGCATGCTTTCGAGTTGCTTTGACGGGCTCCCACCTAGCAGTTGTGAACCTGAGACTGAGCGAATCACAGGCTTTTCGATAGGCCAAATGTCAATCGCTTTAAGTATGTTGTTCAAGACCTGGGAGTTGCCTACGTGGACGCTGTTGCTTCTCTGCCGCGCAGGCGGTGATGGATGCCACCGCTCAGCTTCAAGCCTACGACTTGCCCTTGGAAGCTTGGCAAGCGCTATGCGGAGATGGGTGGGGGGGGGTGGGGGGTGGGGGTGGAGGGTGGAGGGGTGGGGTTGGGAGATGGGCAAGAGCAGTAGGTGTGTGACAATTTGAGGCCGTTAGTTTGGGTTTCATGCTTCAGTGCGTGGGCTGAGGGTTGTTCAGGCCTATGCAGCATGGAAGGCCAAAGGTTCCGGTACTGCGAAGTCCGCCAACTCGCCCGCTTAGCATCTAGCATCTAGCATCGGGCATTGGCTCCCAGTGCTCCCCAATGACGGAAGCAGATGCCTTGCAGCTGGCGGTGTGCAATCTGGCCGGCGAGACGCTGTTGGAGCCTTTGGTCGCTCCAACTTCGACGGTGCGCGACCTGAAGCTGATGGTTTGGAGTGCCGGAGGGCCTGAGGTTGCACGGCAGAGGCTACTGCTTGGCGATCGCATCCTGGAGGAGGCAAGATCATTGGCAGAAAGTGGCATTGAGGACAGGTGCCAGCTGCTGTGTTTGTGCATTCCCACCAGTGAGGACCTCAAGAACAGGGTGCATGCAATTGCATGTTGCCGCTCTATGAGCGCCCATGAGATCAGTCGTGGCTGCGAAAGGAGTGTGACAGTTGACCCTACGCAGGGCACAGTGTGCGTAGATCGGGAGGACAACGTGAAGAAGTTTCAACTAGACAGAGTATTTGCTGAGGATACCTCTCAGCAAGAACTGTTCGACGCGATTGGAGTTGACCTGGTACAGAATGTTTTAGAAGGCTGGGCATGCTAGCCTTTCAACTGGTGAGTTGATGATCGTTGGTAGTTGGTGACTCTTTGTTTCGACTGAACGCCTGCTGTTTTTGTTGCGCCGTGTTTTGTGGCCGGTGCAGCGATCCAGGCTACAACAGCACAGCCATTGCATACGGCACTTCGGGCTCCGGGAAGTCGTTCAGCCTGTGGGGAGGCGAAGGTTGGGAAGGCCTGGCTCCACGCTGCATCTCGAGTTTGCTCGAAGCCTTCCAGAAGATGCCAATGGCCAACAGCATCGCCTGTTCCATGCTGGAGCCTTGGCAAGTCAGTCAAATCCTTACTTAGGAAACGAGAAACGGGGATGGACAGCAACCCTTGGCCACGAGGAAGTCTATCAAAATCGGGTACTTGACCTTCTTGCAGACAGTCGCCAAGAAGTGAAGATTCGGCGGCACCCCGACTATTCCAACCTTGCTTGCGCTATGGAAGCTTACTACATCCAGGTGAAGACACCGGATGACCTGAAGGCCAGGGTTTGGCGAAAGCAGCAAGCGGCAAAACAACAACAGCCATTTCGCAGTGGTGCAATTCACGGTTTCCGGGGCACAATGCCAGTCCAGTTTGCCCGAAACTGGCACCCACTTTTGTTCGAGCGAGGCTTGTTGGGCTGCATCGGTTGGAGGTACTGCTGAATTTTGCCTTCTCCAGGAGGGCGAGGACAAATCCGCGGCTTACCAGCTATGTTTGCGTTGTTGCGGTCCAATCGACGGACTGCCTGGGCCAAGTTGCTGCAAGAAGGCTTCAGTTTGTTGAGTGTCATGGCTGCGAGCGACGTGAAGAACCTGGAGTCCTGAGGGAGGGCACCTCTCTACGGGACCACTCAGAGTCGCTTGCTTTGGGCCGCGTTGTCACCAGCCTGGTGCCTGAAAAAACTCGCCGCATCGTTCCATACCGAGACTCCAGACTGACGCATCTTTTGCAGAACTCCCTGGGTGGCAACACCAAGACGCTGTGGATGTGCCATTTGACCCCTGCTGATGCAGAGTGTGAGGCAGGTGCTGGCCGTGTCCCATGCCCCTTTGGGATTTTGGGGACATGTTGAAAACAAGTTGAACCACCCAAACAAATGGCTGTGGTTGGCAAAACCGATGGTATCCCATTTTGGGCTAGGTGCACCACCCATTTTAGAACTTATTTTCGTGGTAGGATTGGGATGTTCACTGGGGATACGATTTGGCTTTTGACCCATGGCCAAATCGGCTGGGGCTTCGCCGCAAGGACACGCTCTCCGCGCTCCACCTGGCCAGGCGGGCCAGTCTCGTCGAGAACCAGCCGCTTTCTCTCAGTCCTGGGCCCGTTTCCCCCGGCATTCCGCTGGCTGACGTGCCATGGCTCGCTCCTGCCGTTCGGGGTTCGTGACGGCGACAATTCGAGCATGTGGTATGGCTTGGTATTCAAGGCGAGTTCGCAGCCTGGGTTCGGGGTTCGGGGCAAGTCGGCGCGGGCGCGATGCACGATGCACGATGCACATGTCCGCGGTGCCGGCAAGGGTTCAGCAGGCTGCAAGGGAACGGCATCGCCGCAGCCCAGCCAAAACCTCGTGGAGTTTGGAAAAATCCTTTGCAGCCGGCAGTGTGAATGGACTGCAGAGCTCTTTGCACGATGATTCTGCAAGAATGTTGAGTTTAGGATCGGTTAGGCAAAAAACATAGGCAATGCAAGGACAGCACGGTGGCGTGGCAGGCACTAGGTGCTCGAACCCCTTTGCGGATGTCAAACTGTTTAATTATGGTTCAAGTGTTTACCTGGGGGACCTGAGCGCAATGAGGACGCCTGCAATGCAGCCCTGCGTCGCTGTGGTGATGCGGATGCCGCACTGGACAGGGCGGGTTGGACGAGAGAAGCGTCTGAGTGTGTGAACGTCCTGCAGTTCTTGTGGAGACAGCTTCCGATAATGATGATCATTTTTCAGCCAATTGAGACCAGCTATCAAGATATTTCATCACTTAGTCTGAGATTGTGCTCCAACAACGCTGAAGCTCCCCTCTTTCAATGCACCTTACAAAGCTAATGCCACATCAAAAATACTATGGAGGAGTGAGATGGGTGTCAAGAGCGCATGCCTACGGGTTCGACATGGATTCCCAAGAGCTGCTACAGTCATGAAAGACAGAGTTTCCGAATTCCTGGAGAGAACAGAATCCAAGCATGGCTCTGTGCGCGCAGAGGACTTCCTGCTGGACACTTCAGAAGGTAAACTGCTGTGTGAACAGCGCAAGGCATCACAGGACTGAAACTCGCATTTGGTGTGTCCTGACCTTATCTTGCTCGGTTGACTGCAAGTCAAGTTGCTGCAGGAGGTTTCACAACTGCACGCCGTTGTGGCTGATCTTGAAGGAGGACTGGGCTGGCCATGCAAACATGTGTAAAGAACGGATCGGGTTTGCTCAGGGTTCTCTTGTCAAATGATGCTCTCTCCTAAACGGAGCCAGCTCACCACGAGTCAGAGATCGCTGGACATTTCGACGACCATTGGAAAGCAAGAAAACCGGAAATAATTGGAAAGAAAGCAGGAGCCAGGGGCTCAGAAAGAGGTCACCAAAATGCGAAATATCTCGGTGACTGCTAGGAAGCATGTGTTCTACTTGGCAGAGTTTTTTCTGCTGGTTGTTTTCTAGCAGGGCTTGTCCAGCCCTGCTTCTCTTTGTCACAGCTCTCAAAAACATGGCAAGGAAAGAGCCCTTCCATTCATGGCCACTTCTTTCATCTCAATGTTCCTTGGCCATCGTCTCAATCGAGACGAACGCTGGCATGCGAAGAGGCTTGAGGTGTGTACCTCGCGCGTGGACACACATTTGGCAGTGGCCGTTTCTGGTAGGAGCTGTTGGGATGGCGGGGATAGGCGTTTTGCGCGCTCGACTTGTTCCCCTGTGGCTGGACGGGTTGAGCCGCAGGCCCGGGTCAGCGACAAGAAACGGTGCGGCGCCTGTTGCAGCAGCGTGCCTCCGTGAACGGCGGCGTGGTGGAAACGCCTTTGATGCTGGCTGTGCGTGCTGCAGGCCCGTGGGTTTGGGCAAGCCAATCCGCTTCTGTTCAGTTGTTTGCCTTCAGAACAGTTGGGTGTGGGTCAAAATTAGGGTGCCCAAAATGGAATCCGGGCAAATGGAATTGAAAACTAAAGCCTGCGGTCCCCGGCTGGTTTAATTTTGACCCACCCCCAGTTGCCATTTGGCCGGTTGCTTCATGCCAGGCGCCTCGCAACATCCGCAGCGCTTGCTGGTGGTGCAGGAGCTGTTGCAGGGAAAGGCAGACTGCAACAAGGCAGATGTGGAGGGCGAGACGGCACTCATGGAGGCACACGGGCCTGGGATTTGTATAGTTCGCTTTGGAGTTGTGTGTGGTCCTGTGACCGGACGCCAGTTTGCATTCAGACGTGTTTTGGCCATCCCTTCTCCCAACAAGGCGCCTACATAAAACAATGGTTAGTGTTTTTTGCTGAAGCCCCAGGTCCCAAGTACTAAATTTAGAATAATGTAGAATAGGC